AAGTGATCCTAGATGAGGAAGCACAATATTCATCACAGAATCTAAAATGTCAAAAATTAAACACAATGTAATAGCTTAGCATCAGAGTTAACAAACTGCAGCCTGTGAGCCAGATGTGGCCTGTTGCTTGTTTTTGTAAATAAAGTTTTATTGAAACACAGCCACACTCGTTTGTTTACAGATTGTCTATGGCTGCTTTTGTGATACTACGGCAGGCCTGAGTATAGATGATCCCCAACTTGGGATAGTTCGACTTAACAATTTTCACCTTTATGATGGTGCAAAAGCGATACACATTTGATAAGAAAGTGGTAAGATATTCTCTCGCAGTGCTGGACAGCGGTAGCTCCCAGACAGACGCACAATCATGAGGGTAAACAACAGATATTCTATACTACCGAGTCTATAGTGTACCGTGTTGGCAGATGATCCTGTCTCACTATAGGCTCATGTAAATGTTCTGATCACGTTTAAGGTAGGGGAGGCTAAGCCATATTTGGTAGGTTAAGTGTATTAAATGCATTTTTTTTTCAGATTTGGATTATTCTGGGATTTTATTAAAGATCTCCAGAGCATATAAATAGTTTACAGAAAGTGGTGGTTGGAGATTTAGAGATTTTGTGTATGTGTGAATAAGCCTAGGTTAGAAGAATAATATCTCACTGTATTGGGGAGATAAAGTGAATGGTTTTATAGTTTAAAAAGCTAACTGGACCCTACAGTTGGAAAGTATGTAAGGCAGCTCAGTGACTTTTTCTGAGAATATCTTTTCTAAATGCATTTTTTGACATACAATATTTTCAACTTACCATGGGTTTATCAGGAGGTAACGCCACCATAAGTCAAGAAGCATGTGTGATTGTGAAAGACATAGATGGCTCACAAAGTCTGCAATATTCACTATCTTGTCCTTTACAAAAACGTTTGCCGACCCCTAGTTTAAAATATGCTTATTGGTTAGTAAGCGATGGCCCATGTACTTCTAATTTTGCAGCCAATGGGGAAGTTCACAGGGAGTTTGTAAAAAATGGAAAAATATTTTATGCTATGGGAAAATAAAAGAATACAGAATTTTAGATACTATATAGTTGCAATTATGTGAAGAAAAACATTTTAAAAGGGACTGGAGGGAAGTATAACAAATTGTTAACATTATTTATCTTTAAGTGATAGGGAATCTATTTGATTTTAATTTTATCCTCTTTCTACTTTTCTGCTAATTCTAATTAATTAATGCTTTTCAATTAATACTAATGAATATATTTTACTTTAAAGAGTAAAAGTAAATATCAATTTAAAATTGAAATTAAAAAATTTAAATGAGCCTCCAGTGTACTAGGGTTTCACATACTCTTGGATTAAGTGTATGATTCTGCATCACATAATAATACAGAGTCTTCACCGAGCACTTCTAGCTACCTAAAGACAGCTCCCATCCTGGAGTTCGAGATTTTGTTTCCCCTCAGATTTATATGGTAGGAGAGTCCCCCCTTGCCCCTTTCACCTTCTTCTTGTGAAAGGACACATCTGCCTCATTCTGGGCCCCACCCTATTCTATAAGAAAAAACAAACAACAACAACAACAAAACCCTAAAGGGAATACTTGATCAGGCAAAGAAAAGAGGCAACACCTAGAGTCATGCTAAGGTGTGGTTAATCATGCCAGTAGCAAATGTGGACCTCGAGAGTCCTTTTTCCTTCATTTCTTTATTATCTGCATGTGACTTGAAGCCACTTTTAAAAGAAAACCAGATGAATGGCAACCTAGGTCAGCGAGGAAGAAGCAGAGGTGGGACCTTGAGCGTAGACAGAGAGGAGAGCAAATATGGGGAAATGGCAGTGGATGACTCTTTATTTCCTTCTGAAGTGGATCTATGCAGACCAAAGCTTCTACAGGAGAAAAGCAGAGATCTAGTTTTCATCATCCTCCGTACGGCTGTGTGTGAACTTAATTCAATGACAAAGTAAAACTTTTGTAATGGGCTCCCCGTCCGTCAAAATGTTAAGGGTTTAACTAAAGGATTATGCTTAATTCAAAACCATCGAGCATTAGGAGCAAAGCGAGGAACAAGTCAGAACAAAGTCAAACCCAAAAGGTGAGGTCAGCCAGAGTAACTTCACTTCCCATAATCACTTCCTATTATTTGCAAGGCCTGGAAAAATTGGAGCATTAAACTTTCTGAACCGCTCGGGGAATGCAATTGTTGCTTCCCAGCATCTCCTCATTCTTTGGGGGGTAAAGGGCAATAGCTACTGATTCTGTTCCAATTAGACAGCTCCCTCCAAATCACCAGGCAACCCCCGGCTTTCATTACCCAGCCTGCTCAGCCTACATGTGCAAAGGCTCATTAAAACAGAGTGAAGCCCAGACTACAGGGAAGAAAAAGTGAGCAGGAGAAAATGATGCCCACACATCCATCACTGGCCAATTTGGCATTTATTAATCACATCTCATTTCTCAGCCCTGTTAACAAAGTAAATGGAATTCCCTTTTTTGGAAACAAAAGCCACAGCTAAGAACACGGCCTATTTTCTCTACACCTCTATTCCTTCATGAAAAATTTTCCAAACTACGAAGTGGGGCCCAGAAAGGAAGCCTGACCTGGAGAAACTTAGTTCATTCATTCAACAAATATTTGTTGAGCACCTACTGTGTGTGAGGCACTGTTCTAGACTTTGGGGAGTAGCAGGAATGACCACAGATGAAGATCTTCACCCTGCGGAGGTTAGATTTGAACAGAGGGTGATAGACATTATTTACATATAAATTATAAATGTGTTAGGAGGTGATAAGTGATATGGAAAAAAGAATAGGAGAGGTTAGGGAGCATTGGGAGTGGTGGGTGCATGAAGGATTCTTTGCATTATTAAATACAACAGTCAGGATCAGGCTTATTGAATAGGTGAGCAAAGGCTTGAAGAAGATGAGGGGGTTAGGCAAGTGGTAGCCTCCGGCTAAGGGCTAATATCTTTCCAGATATTTCGCCCATGACCTCTACAACAAAGCAATGAGGGTATAATAAAGTCTGGCTTCTTTCCCCAAAAACGAATAGACAAACCATTCCAAGTTCAAGAGGAGAATAATTACTACAACAGAGGCTCCACAAGTGCAAGGACTTCCTTTTCTTTGTCACTGTGTCCCTAGGGCCTGGCACATAGGAAGCGCTCGACTAATCTTTGTTTAAAGAATGACTAAGCGATCATGTGCTATATATAAATAAAGGATAATTCAAGACAGATGACGGCTGGAAAGACACTGGGGCAATCCCCTAAACAGGTTGTGTTCACTCCCTAGGCTGACCCCCACTTCCTGCTCCGTTCTGCAGGAGATCAGGGCGACACAGAAGGGCAAGTCAATAGCAATGAGAGTCAGGGAAGCCTTTGGGAAAATTTTCTGGCTGGCAGAACCTGTTCTATGTACCCCAGGGGTGTCAGCAGCTCTGTTCTATTTAAATCAATTTACTAACCACTTCTGGAGCATCTGCTTTACGTTAGCTGGGGCTAGGTCCCCCAGGGCATCAAAGTAAGTAACACGCCATGGTAGGCAGCCTCTAGGATGGTCCTAATAATCCCGGCCTTCTGGTATCCATGACCTCATTCAAGGCTTTCCCTTGTGTGGGGGCTGGATCTAGTGACTCACCTCTAGCAAATAGAACATGGCAAAAGAGATGAGATGTCACTTCCAAGATTAGATTACAAAAAGACTAACTCCTCTCTTGGCTAGGCGCGGTGGCTCACGCCTATAATCCTAGGTCCCTGGGAGGCCGAGGCAGGCGGATTGTTTGAGCTTCAGGAGTTCGAAATGAGCAAGAGCGAGACCCCGTCTCTACTAAAAATAGAAAGAAATTAATTGGACAACTAAAAATATATAGAAAAAACTAGCCGGGCATGGTGGCGCATGCCTGTAGTCCCAGCTACTCGGGAGGCTGAGGCAGGAGGATCGTTTGAGCCCAGGAGTTTGAGGTTGCTGTGAGCTAAGATGACGCCACGGCACTCTAGCCCCGGCAATACAGTGAGACTCTGTCTCAAAAAAAAAAAAAAAAAGACTAACTCCTCTCTCTCTCTCTCCCCCAACCCCCTTGTTCTGGTGAAGCAAGCCACCATGTTGTGAGTGGCCCTATGGCGAAGTCCACATGGCAAGGAACTGATGTCTCTGGTCACCTACCTGTGAAGGCCTGAGGCTGCCAACAGCCAGGTGAGTCAGCTTGGAAGCAGATCCTCCCTGAATCAAGCCTTGAGATGACGGCTGCCCAGCAACCCCCTGATTGCAGCCTCAGAAAGCGCCAGAAGCAGAGGACCTGGCTAAGCTGTGGCTGAATTCTTGACCCTCAGAAACTATGAGAGAATAAAATTGTTGTTTTAAACCACTAAGTTTTGGGATAACTTGCTGTGCAGCAATAGATAACTAATGCATATTATCGGTAAAACAAGATACAGTCAGGTAATGCATATGAATGATAAAAACAAAGCATTTGGGATGGAGGAGGTCCACAGGAGGAAGAAATAGGTGACTGGGAGTTATAATGGCTCAAATTTACAGAGCCCTTTAAAATTTACTGAGTAGTTCTACCATAATTATCTCATTTGACCTTAGTAATAAACTGAAGAATTAAATTATTCGACTTAATCAATATTAAATATCAATTGATCTAATCATTCAGTAAATAATTTAAGTGTCAGATATATGCCAGTAGCAGATACAAAGGAAACCTATGTAAGCCACGGTAACTGCCCTCAGGGAACCCAGAATAGCAGAGCACAGACACATTAAACAAACAACAAATGAACTCACAGCACAATGTGTTGGATGCCATAACAGAGGTTTGCACAAAGTGTGTGCTGACTTAAAGGTGGGGTGATGAACTCTTCCGGAAGATCTAAGAAATACTCACAAAGAGGTTCTCGAAGAATGAGTTGGAATTTACGAAACTGTTGGGTCGTAGGAAGGTTAGGGGGAATAAGAGCAAGCATCTGAGGCAAAGGGGGAGGGTGGCCGTGCCATGGTAGGAAAGCTCGAAGCGGTACAATCTGGGACAGCAGACTTTAATTCGGTATGAGTGCACATAACGAATAAGGGAAACCGGCAAGTGCAAGAGCTGGGTCTCAGGCTCAACTCGTCTGCCCTACGTGCTATGCTTTGTTCACAATCTCATACTGTCTTTTCTTATCTTTCTCAACCCCCTCTCCTGATTTCTCTTCCTCCATCATGAGATTTCATGATTGTATTAGTTTTGTGCATTGAGGATGGCTGTCACTTTTTTCTACGATTAAGAACTACCGAGTCTTGCTGTCGTGGGCTCCGGGTCTTGTTACCACACCGCTCGACCTCCACCTCGGCCGGGGAGCTGAGGGGCGCAATGGCGCCCAGAGGGTCCTTGGCACCGCGTGGTGTTCAGGCGCTTTGTGGAGGTTGGCCGAGTGGCCTACGTCTCCTTTGGGCCTCATGCCGGAAAGCTGGTCGCAATTGTAGATGTTATTGATCAGAACAGGGCTTTGGTTGATGGACCTTGCACTCAGGTAAGAAGACAGGCCATGCCTTTCAAATGCGTGCAGCTCACTGACTTCATCCTCAAGTTCCCACACAGTGCCCTCCAGAAGTATGTCCGACAAGCCTGGCAGAAGGCAGATGTAAACACAAAATGGGCAGCCACAAGATGGGCCAAGAAGATTGAAGCCAGAGAAAGAAAAGCTAAGATGATGGACTTTGATCATTTTAAAGTAATGAAGGCAAAGAAAATGAGGAACAGAATAATCAAGAATGAAGTTAAGAAGCTTCAAAAGGCAGCTCTCCTAAAAGCTTCTCCCAAAAAAGCACCTGCTAAGGGTGCTGCTGCAATTGCAGCAGCTGCTGCTAAAGTTCCAGCAAAAAAGATGACCACTGCAGGCAAGAAGGCTCCAGCCCAGAAGGTTCCTGCCCAGAAAGCCACAGGCCAGAAGGCAGCACCTCCTCCAAAAGTTCAAAAGGGTCAAAAAGCTCCAGCCCAGAAAGCACTGGCTCCAAAGCCATCTGGCAAGAATGCATAAGAGGTTATTATAAAAGTAATAAAGGTTCTTTTTGACATGTTGGCAAAAAAAAAAAAAGAACTACCTAAACCTTGTAACTGTGGGATGTCAATCTTCCCACTCGGCATAGGTTGAATTATGTCCCCTCTAACTTCAGATGTTGAAGTCCTAAACTCCAGTACCTCAAAATATGATCTTATTTGGAGACAGGGTCTTTACAGAGGTAATCAAGTTAAAGGTAAGGTCATTAGAGTAGGCCCTAATCCGATATGACTGATGTCTTTATAGAAAGAGGAAACTTGGACACAGACATGCACAGCAGGAAGGCAACGTGGAGAGACATAGGGATAAGATGGCTGTCTATACGCCAAGGAGAGAGGCCTGGAACAGATGCTCACTCACAGCCCTCATAAAGAACTAGCCCTGTCTACATCTTAACCTTGGACTTCCAGCCTCCAGAACTGTGAGACAATAAATTTCTATTGCCTAAGCCACCAGTGTGTGGTACTTGTCATAGCAGCCCTAGTAAACAAATACACCATCCTTTAGAGACAATGTCTCTGAGAATGAAAACAACACAGAGGAAAACAGAGGTGAGAAATGGACAAAGATAGAGCCTGCATGTACTGGTTCCTTAAGGTCTACCCAAGACCTTTCCGGAATCTGAACTAGTCAATGCCTTTTTCCTGAAGACATTTTGAATTAATTTTCCATCACTTTCAATGAAAGATCCCTGACTAATAGAAGGGCAAGTGCTCCAAACCCCAAGCCTTGCCGAATATTCCATAATACCACCTGCTTCCTTCTGATGAGTGCTGTTCAATATATACTCCCCTTTTTGAAGAAAGGTAATTAAACTTGCTTTATTTTGAGAATAACATGACTTGGCTATAACCTGAAGTGCTACCAAGCCATCTTAGGAAACATTTTTTTTCACTAGACATTCTTAGACAGGAAATTCAGGTACATGAAAAAGGAAATACAGAAGAGCATATCAATCATGGGTGAGTTACATGATTGATATAAAATAGCTACAAGTGGATTACACCACAAAGAGATATCTTGATGCAGTGGAAAGCAAATTAGGTCTATAGTCAGAAGACAGTTTCCTTGAGCAAACCGTGTAAGTGTGACATGGTAGAAAGACCCTGGGGCTTGGAGCCAGAGGATCCTGGGTTTATATCTAGCTCTGTCACTTTCTCTGTGGCCTTCAGGGAAGTAATAACCTAACTGAGCATCAAATTCTTTGTCTATGAAATGAGGCAAAGGATACTACCTGGCAAGGCTGATATCCAAATCAGTGATAATTTGAGTAGAGCAGTGACTAGCATGACTGGCATATAGTAGGTGCTCAGTAAATGGTAGCAATAAGTCACCTTTATTCTTATGTCTTATTATTTATTCCTAGGGTTTTCAGTTTCTCCCTTTGTGGACTCTGGATAATAATCCTTCCTGAAACAGGATTCTTATGGCGATCAAAAAGATTTTGCAACTTGAAAGCACATTGTAATATAGATACCAGATGCAAATGTAAAGACATTATTAACATAAGGCAAGTGATTAGAAAGTTCACAAGACCTCCACTCTTTACATCTAAATATGACTCTGTAGTAGCAGCTTTGTGCGAAGGGACCAGGCCCTCTTAAGCAAATGGGCAGCAGCTCCAGTATGAGAAGTCTGGGTCCCACCCATGCAGCCAAAGCCACGGGGCAGGCCCCTGTAAGGTCTGGGCTCACTGTTGGGCATGCTCTGCACAGACTGCAACCAAATTAGGGGAACCAAGCCGACAATAGCCAGAAAAACGAAAGGTGCTCCAAATAGTAAACAAACGTGCATTTTTCATATGCTGCCCTTGCTTTTGTATTCTAGAAACTGAAACAGCACATTTGATACTGAAATCATGTGTGCAAAAAAATTGCACCTGCCCTCGCTTAACTAATGTCTTGAATTATGCTTGGTTACCACCCAACTGGTAGGAAATTCTCCTGTTCTGCACTGCGTTGTGCTGTTGGCCCTAAAGGGGTTCTCATATACTGCTAAACTGGCATTCGGTCATTCCTCCAAAAATAGCAAGGGACAAACTAACCTGTCTGAGTGCAGAAGCGATCAGTGACCAGGTGCCATGGTTTCACACACTTTACCCACATTAGTCATAATAGCTTTTAACCTCAAGACAAAATGGATCTTAAGTGGTTTTTTAAGCAATATATTCTAGGAGGAACATGCAAAATCTGTCACTCAACAAAAGAAAAAGGTAATTGTTTTGTGTTTGAACAGGGCAAACAAAATCATGTGGTTGCCCCTAATATTTTCAAAGAAGAAACATCTAGTCAAACTGAACACAAAAAGGGAAGTGAAATTAGAAAAGGCAGAGTGTTGAGGGGTGACCAAGGGAGAAGGGTGGGCATGTCCACTCGGCCTTGTGGTATTTACTAGACAATGGTTTGCAGGTTTAACAGCTTCATGCATGTCATTGTTTTAGCAACTGGTGACCCGGCAGGGATTCCAGGCACCATGCCCAGCTTTCAGACGAGGAGGACAGGCACAAAAGGAGACAGCAGTATATGGAAAGAGGGAGCAAGCCCTGTGTCATGTACTCTGAATGAGACCAGTGCACTAAGAAAGAGTTGTACTGTGTACACCCAACACCGTGTTGGCCAACTTCCATCCGAGAAACATACACCAAAATTAAAGCCCCAGATTTCTCAGAATCTTTCTTCTTCCCATTGGCAGCATTTTGGTCTATTTTCTCAATTGCATCAAAGAGAGGGAAAACCAATCATTTTTTCTAGTTCATCAACTTGGTTTCTAAATAAAATTACACTTTGGAAATGATTCATGAATAACACTTACTGGTAGTTCAATATCCCTCTATGTAGTGGAGCGAATCCGAGTTTAGAGCCAGGAGGCTTGGGTTTAGGCAGCATCGGTTCCATTAGCAGCTGGTCTTTGAGGAAGATACTCGAGTCCTAGTTTCGTCATCCATAAGTTGTAGCCCTTACCTTCCTGTGAGAAGAACATACAGTAAGGTGTTAGGTCAAGGTACTCTGTGAGCTTAATAGCATTACAAAAATGTACAATTATTAGTAATAGCAAAAAAGAATGCTTAGCAATTGGTGACAACGATGCCTGAGAAGCCCAGGTGACCGCAGATGCACAGATAAAATACCTCTGGCTTATCTCAAGGTGTGAAAGTATCTTTCCTAATAGGCCAAAAAACAAAACAAATAAAAATAAATAAAGCAAAGGTAGAATCCAAGAAAATATAAAGTTCATCTTTTAACAGTTTTGTCTTTAGAAGAACACCCAGGAGAAAAACAAGACGCATCTTTACAGTCTTTTCTTGGAAGAGCAAACTCACAGTGGCATGTGAAAGCTTTGTTGATACCTAGCAGGACTGTGTCAAATGAAATCTAGAAGCCTCCAAATTAAATTGGGAAAAGAACAGCAAGTAGTCTCTTTAGTGATGTCATGGCTTAGTATTTGGCATAAGTTGAAGAGTGTTTGGGAGACTATTTATTTTGGTGATTTGATGTAATGCATTCATCTGGTTCACTCCCACCCACTTGGGTGGGGCCTCCTGCTCCCCTCCTCCAAACCTTCCCGGGGGAGAGAAAGTACCTCCCAAACAAACACTTAATGCCACTGCTGGCCTGTGTTCTTTCTTCTTCCTCTTCTCTGGCTCTCTTCTACAATTTTGCTGGCAAAGTCAAATCAAAACTCCTCTTCTCTCCCACTGGGGTTGACTACCAAGGCCACACTGAGCCAACACAGGCCTGTTTTACAACAGCCCTCCCAAAGTGGGAAGCATGCCTTCCCCTGTCCCCTCCATCACCACGATCCCAGAGGAGACTTGCCTGGGTTCCCAGGGTCCAACATGAGCCACGTGTGGAAGCCACTCTGCCTTTCTGTTCTTTGTCCCTCCCACCGAAGACTAAGGCACGAGCCCACGGAACTGGCAGAAGAACCAGACTCTCAAACAGAGGCCATACTGTCATCAAAATTCTCACTCCCTTGCTTCTATCCCGACTGTTTTCTCACACGTTCTGACCAGTTGTAGCAAGGTCGTGTTTCCACCATTGCTCCATAATCAGTTCACTCTTACGAAGTTTTGTGTTTCACCATGAAGACTTCACTGTGGTAATAGTTACTAAAAACCTAGTCACTCATTCATCAGCCAGCATCCTAGATATGGTACGTTCGGTCGGCAGCCTGATGACAGAGCAGTGCTACCACAGGCAGAGTGCTAGCCTGGGTGTTTGCCCTAGTCTGTACTTTCTAGCAAAACTAGGACAATTCCACCACATGTGTAAGATTTCCATTAATTTCAGGATTTTTCCCCAAAGTTTCTTCTAGTGCTAAAACCTGAACCATGCCCATGAACTCGACGTTCTGATGTTCTAAAAGTGGTTCTCTGAACACGCTTAGCCAGAGCTGATTCCAATTCTGTCTCTTTCCCTGGTCAAAAAATATTTATTTAGTTCTGCAAGCCAAAACGTCCAGGCCAATCAAATACTCCTAGCATTAGAATAATGCTCCGAATGATATGAGCAAGTCCTTTTTTGAAAACAGTTTACAGTATAAAATCCATTATAACCAAAAGATAAAGTAGTGAGAATTGAGTGGTAGGGGACAAGAGCATATGTGGGGAAACATCTCACTGGCCCTATAGCCAATTCCCTACAACCAGATATCTAAAGAACACTACACACGTGTGACATAAGCTGCCTTCACGATTCACTGGATATTTGCCAAGTGCTTGATCATCATTTTCCCATACTGCTCATCTCCAGCAGGAAGCTCTGTGGAGATCTACCCGGGCATCTGCTGCCCAGGTAAATGCTGACTCTGCTGCCTTCCAGAAGAGCTAGTTACTGTCAAGAAGACAGGAGGCACACCAAGTGGAAGAAGCAGCTGGAAGGATTCACTTGGCTCCCACTTTGTCATCTGACACCTTGCTGCTCTTTGCGGAGTGCTCAGCACCAGTCCAACCTGCCTTAAATGCTGATTGGGGCGACTCTGAAAGTACACTCCTCAGTGGTAGGGACTAGGGTTTTGTTTG